AAGGAATGGCGTTGAAGCCACGCGTCGGTACTTTGGGCGTTGGTTTTTAGCAGCAGTCTCGGCTGTGAGGGCAGCTCGTTTCATTAGACGGTAGACACCGGCATATTCCGGATATGCTTGCTGATGACAGGCCCGGAGAGGCGATGGGCGGTCATTCGGAGACCATTTGTATAGGTGCAAAATCTTTTGGTTGGGGGAGGCGGAGATGATGGTATCCGCAGCGGAGAAGCCAGATCCAACGACGAGGAGGGGGACATTAGGTGAGGACTTCGTCTCAAGCAATGGACGTAACACCGGCTCTGGTGGGAGGATCTCGGAAAAGATTCCACTCGCGAGGACGAGGCGCTTGCAGTGGAGGTTATGAGAACGAGCATAGAATCCAGTGGCGGTGCGGGAAATGCCCTTCAATTCTTCCCCACACCGAAAAGCATCATCGATGTGCGCAGCCTCGGGATAAGCAGCGAAATAATCGGCGATCTCGCGCCGCGTGGGCCTTGTATATGATGGTAGGTCCTTGCCTGTGGTCTTTTTGTGATGGTCGCCAAAGGAGTATCCGGGCAACGATAGCATTGCCGCATAACTCAATGTTTGGATATCCCAATTCGCGCCCCATGGGTCTTCAGTCCATTGGCCTCCAGGCTTCAAGGACTTTCCAAAAACCAAATGTGAGACAGCCTTCTCAGGCTGTGAGCGCCAATCAATATTTGAGATGCATCCAGGCTCATCCACATCAACACTTGGCCGTACCAATGTGTCCAGTAAGACGTTCACGGGAAGAGCCTGAGTCGAGTAGGAGAGGCGTGAGGCATCAAAGTGCGCTGTAAGAGCATTCACATCCGCATTCAAAATCCCTGGCGCAGCTTTCAACTTGGCGTCTAATAAATGATCGGGATGTGGAGGATTGGATGAGTAGAAAGGAATGTGTCCATGGAGGATGTATGAAAGGATCATGGCCGACGGCCCATTGCCTGGTAAAATCGATTCAATCAGTTGCCATTTCCTAGGGACGTCTTAACGGCGCGGGGTGGAATGCGGGGCTCAAGCAGAGCAAAAGTCCTGAATGACCTCAACATGGGACGCCGACCATGATAGACGTACCGACGATGATAGTGTCAACCTCCATTGACGGCGATGTATATCAAATAAGTGATGGAGCTTGTGGCATACTGGTATAGACATGCGGCAGGGTTAAAAAAAAGGTAGATCATCCAATCAGAGCAGGATGAGATCCTTGTCACACTGCCTTCTCATGAGAGGTCGACAGCAAGGCCATAAGGGAATGTAACATTTGTAACCCAGGGAATTCAAGGAAAGTAAACGCCCCGGACAAAATGGGGGGTCACTTCGTCTCGGCATCGGCCGATCGATAATCAAAAGCTGACAAACCCTGGGAAAGTGGAGTGTCAAGTGGAGAAGAGGAGAATCGGGAAAGTCGACGATTTTCCATTTGCCGCTTGAAAATGACCTGGGAAACCGAACCCGAAAGTATTTACCGGAAGTGCGTCCATCATTATAGCGTCATATTTCTGAAGATCAAGAGATATAAATATATTTGAATGTTGAACGTGCTGAATGCATATGTCAAACTGTATGATGTATAGGGAAATGTCCAATGTAGTTTGTAGTTCGTAGTTCGCATTGGAATATCCCCAGATCACATTCAGCCCTAAGCCCTAACTTCCCAAAACGGATGAAGCCTGCAACGCGGCCCCGGGGAACATGAGCGCTTCAACCTCAAAGAACTGACTGCGATGTCATGATTTCTGATTTCGATTCTGTTTTTCTATAACTACAATTGCGCTTGGCCTTGAGCTCCCATAGGGAACGCGATCATGTATCACCTGGCCAAGTCGCTGTACTTAGCCGCCACGAGCAAAGAAGGTAACTCCTCTCTCCTATCGCATAACCTTCCACGCTGATTACCCTGAACTACAGAGTATTCTGTTATCCTGCTTGGGTTAGATAACGCCGGCAAAACAACACTCCTCTCCCAGATCAAGGCGCTGTACCAACCCCGCTCCGACGGCGCCCCAGCACCCAACCCCGGAAAAACAGTCCCCACCGTCGGGCAGAATGTCGCAACGATAGCCCTACCAGACATGAACTTGAAGATTTGGGACGTCGGAGGTCAGATCTCCATGCGCGGACTTTGGCAGAGCTACTACACCAGCTGTCACGCGATCATCTTCGTGGTCGACAGTGCCGACGTTGGTCAAGATCCCGATATCGCGCGGCTTGCTCGGCGCGCAAGCTCCGTGGCAGGTCCAGCACGAAACGGCGCACGAGGGAGTACAAGTGCAGAGGCCTTCTCGGAGCAAAATGTCGGAATCAACGCGGCCAGCAGTGAGTTTGGACGATTAGACGAGTGCCGTCAAGTGCTCGAGTCGGTCTTACAAAGTGCCGACGTGGCTGGTGTTCCTATTCTGGTGTTGGCAAATAAGCAAGACCGTGAGGACTGCGTCGAAGTAGTTCGCATCAAGGAAGGTCTTGTCCGGAAGGTGTTTGAAGGAGAAACAGGAGGCGGCGTCCGTGACAGCCGTGTGCTGCCGGTCAGCGCGCTGCTTGGGTCTGGTGTACAGGCAGCTGTGGAGTGGGTACAAAGTCGTGTCAAGTGGAACAAAGAGGGCAGGCCTCCAGTGATGCGCTGATTCGAAGGGGCTGCCGACAATTCTCGTACATGATATCGAGCGCAGCATATGGTGCATAATGGCGTTTGTTCATGATAATTACATTTTCTGTTAATATACCAATGAAGTCTATTTGATGTCAAGTTAAGTTAACTATCAGCCTTCCATATCATGTAGGCAGTTGAAATTATTGCGGGAATGATTCTAGGCATTTTATTGTGCTAGGTAGACATTATGTATGTATTATTATGGATGGGAATATGTAAAAATGGGCCGTGGAAGATGAGAGGACATGAGGGGGAAGTGATCAAATGAGGCTATGAGCTGCCAAAGACAAGCAGGAGACGCGCAGAACCAAGAGTAGACTTTTCTGCAGAAATAATTGACAGGTCGGTGTTTTCTGCGCCGAGGATTTTTTTTTTTTTAGCGAACACTTCTGGTAGTCTGGGTTTTACTCGCCGGTGGCTTCTTTGGCCAGCTTCGTGCGATATCAATGTTGGCTCGGGGAAACCACATCTCAAGGAAGACATAGATCAAGAAGTCAATCACGACACACAGGCAGAACAGTTTGCCTGCCCAGACACCACAGCCGTAGTAGCGTTTCAATCGGTCAATAAGCGCAAAGCTGCGGACGCGATCTCCACTCGCTTCCCAACCCTGGCCTGGGTAGTAACCGTAAAACTCCTCTGGGCTAATGTCGCCAATGATGCCTTCGTACACGCGCTCTGTGCGCGCGGCCACGTCCCGCCACGAATACATCATCTTGACTTGATCATGAAATCGGTCCGTTCGTACTTTGTTCGAGCGCAAAGCCGCGATTGCCTTGCTAGTTGCAAGCACAATATCGTCCTCTTCCGGTTTCGCAAACGTTGTCATATGCTGGGGTAAAACTTCTGGAATGCCTCCAACACGGGTACAGACAACGTAAAGACCACAACTGGCAGCTTCAACGATGACTGTTCCGAATGCTTCTGTCAGACTAGGATGGAGGTAAATGTCACCTCGCACCATCACATCTCGGACCTCCTCGTGTCGGACCGAACCTAGAAGTTCGACTTTATCCTGAAGCACATTGCGTTCCAACATCTGCTCCAGGTCGATTGCTTTGGGACCTGATCCTGCGATAATGAAGCGAGTGTTGGGATTGGAGGCAAGAATCCGCGGAATAGATGCGATGAGAAGATCAGTGCCTTTATTGTAAAAGAGTCGCGAGATGACCACGATTGTGATCGGATCGTCAGGTCCGATTGGTCTGGGGGACATTGGAGCATCGGCGGGTGAGCTCTGGCCTTGATCAGGCGTACGAGTAGTATGAGATAGAGGGCAGAAATTCTCCGCTACCACAGCGTTTGGAATGACCGACACCATTAATGGATCCAAGGAAGCTCGAAGTACCGTGTTTTCCTTGCTACAGGTTGTTAGTCGAGTCGCGCAGTACATTCGCGGGAGACCTACCAAGTGTGACTAACGCAAATCGCATGGTCAACATCACTCAAAGTAAACTTGAGCAATTTGTTGGTGAGAATCGATGCTGCGTCAGCGAATCCGAAGAGGGAATGGTCTGTGAAGACAGTCCGCAGTCCCATAGTTCGGGCATGGAGAATAGCTTCTCCACAGAAGCTACTCAAACTGGCATGGCCATGAACTATGTCAATATCCTCTCTGATGACGATATTGCGGAATATGGGGAAGAAAGAGAAGACGGTAGGAAATGTCGTTTCGCGGTAGATGACGAAGAATGGAACATGGTAGATCTTTAGTCCATTGGTGAGGTATCGGACTCCGGTGCGTCCTTTGTATGCATGGGTAATAACAATGACTTTATGTCCCCGATCGATGAGTTTCTGAGAAGCAATTAGGAGAAGCGCAGACGGATCGACAAGGTAGCGTGCTTACGGACGACAATTGGTATATGTGACTCTCAATTCCACCTGGAAAAGTATAAGTAACCGCGTAAACTGCAGGGGAAAGAACGAGGCATACCTGACTGGGGAAAAAAGAAGTCACTGACCATTCTATATCCAGAGCGATGTTAGCAAGTAATCGCGACATGTAGATAGAACAAATACTAACGCGATGTTATACGGCATCGTGGTTGTGGTTCTCGGGGCGAGAACTCCGAGGTATCGAATTTGCTTGTGTCAAATTCCTTTCCATGGCTAACAGATCTGCTGCTTAAAACACCAGTCCATCCAAGCCAATAAATATAGGAGACTTGGAGACACACATCTGGAAGCTGCCCCGATAAGCAGGGCGGTATAGCGGGCGGTGATATTATTATATCTTCTGCCGGCATAAAATATTCAGAGAAAAGGAATTTGATCCCCACGAGGTATTCAACGCCAACTCCGACATTGGGGAAATTACATGAGAATGGTCGACAAAAATTCGGGACTCGGGTCCTCTCAGAAGGTTGATGTGACTCCCAAATCCACAAAGTCTCAGAAGCGCAAGAGAGATCCCCATGGCTCTCAGCCTGCAGCGACTCCCACCCCGACGAAGAAGCATAAGAAACGCGAAAGCTTGCCGATCGCAGAGGTCACAGATGATAGCAGCACCAAGAAGCGCAAGCATCTTAAGGATGTGCTCCAAGGATCGAATTCTCCGGAAACGTCCCGGAAAGAAAGTACTCTCTCGTCAGACCGCAGAAAAGCGACTGTTGCAGACTCACGCAACGGCGTCAGTGAAACGGCAGGGAAATCGAAAAAGAGCAAGCGAAAGAGCTCTGGAACGGACAACACATTGGATGATGCGGCTGCATCTGTGATTACAGGAAATGACGATGAAGAAGTTGAAGCCCCGGAAGTCGAACAGCGCAAATCGAAGAACAAGCATTCGGGGATTATGTCAAAGTTCGAGCGCACCAAAACCGTCTCTAGTGCTAAATCCAAAAAAGCTGAACCCGAAGCCGTTAAAGATGAGACACCTGCTGTCGAAGCTGTCTACGCACAGGGTCTTGAACGACTACCTCAGCCTGAAAACCCACCCGAGCCAGAGCAACTCCCAACATATTCATCTCTACCCCCGTGGCTGGCCAATCCGTTGCGCAAATCAGCTCAGGATACCAAGAAATTTTCTGAGCTCGGAATCAAGCCAGATCTTCTCAAAATCCTGGAACAACAGAACTACAAAGAAGCTTTTGCTGTGCAGTCTACTGTCATTCCACTCCTTCTGCAAGGAGAGCAAAACCACCCAGGGGATCTTTGTATCTCTGCGGCGACTGGATCCGGAAAAACACTTTCCTATGTTCTCCCTCTTGTCACCGCTCTGCCGCCGAGACCTGCCTCCAGACTTAGAGGATTGATTGTAGTTCCTACACGAGAACTGGTTAAACAAGCGCGCGAGTCCTGTGAACTATGTGCTTCTGGATCCAGACTTCATATCGGAAGTGCAGTCGGTAATGTGGCTATAAAAGATGAGCAGAAGCTGTTGATGCGAGTGGACCAGGTTTACAACCCGGCTATTCAGAAGCAACAGCGTGACGGGTTGAACGGAAACGATTGGATGAACTTGAGCCTGGAAGATTGTGTCAGTGAGGCAATTGGCTCTAACGGGTCTCTTCCCGGTCACATCCAGCGATCCGAACCGAATGTCGACATCCTTATCTGTACTCCTGGTCGCCTGGTTGACCACATTCGCTACACCAAGGGATTCACACTCAAGCATCTTGAATGGCTGGTGATTGATGAAGCAGATCGTCTCTTGAACGAAAGCTTCCAAGAGTGGGTTGATGTTGTCATGAACTCGCTGAACAGTCGGGAGGCCCCGGAGACCTTTGGGCCTGGTGGAAAACTTCTCTCTGGATTGGGACTTTCGATTGATGCTAAGCCTCCTAGGAAGGTGGTTCTGAGTGCAACAATGACCCGCGACATTTCCAAACTCAACTCCCTGCGCCTCGCTAACCCCAAGATGGTTATCATCGGGTCTGAGGAGGCTGCCGACGAAGAAGACCCCTCTGCTATTCATCCAGATGCTCACTTCGCCCTACCCCCGACTCTGTCTGAGCACATTGTTCAAGTTGGCGACGGATCCCTCAAGCCGCTTTATCTGCTGCGTCTTCTTCTTTCTCACATTGAGATTAGTGGGAATCGAGCGCCAAGCGTGTCTGATTCATCCGACTCTGACAGCTCTAGTTCAGATGATGACACTAGCTCTGATGAATCATCTGATGACGACACTTCATCTTCTGGGTCTGATTCGGAGTCAGACTCAGACTCAGACTCAGACTCAGACTCAGGCTCAGACTCGGATTCGGATTCGGATTCCGATTCCGATTCTTCGGACTCTTCTGGCTCGGAATCCGATGCTATGGAACTCGTCCCCTCGCCCTCGCGGAAAACTGTTCTGGTTTTCACCAAATCATCCGAGTCTGCATCCCGACTTGCACGTCTCATTTCGCTTCTGCATCCCGCATTGGCCAAGCGTGTGGGAACTATCATTAAATCCAACAAATCCTCTGCATCTCGCAAGACATTGACGGCCTACCGACAAGGCCGCATCTCGGTGATTGTGGCTACAGATCGTGCCTCCCGTGGTCTTGACCTGGAATCTTTGACTCATGTCATCAACTACGACATCCCGACCAGCATCACCACTTACGTCCACCGAGTTGGACGTACCGCCCGCGCTGGCCGCGCTGGCTCTGCGTGGTCCCTCGTTGCTCACCGCGAGGGTCGCTGGTTTGCCAACGAGATCGCAGCTAGTGTGGACGGCCGGATCACGCGTACCTCGAACATCGAGCGTGTCCAGATCAAGCCGGACGCATTAAACTCACTCAAGCCCAAATACGCCAAAGCTCTGGACAAGCTTGAGCAAGAGGTCAAGCGTGGCTAGTGTGGCCTGATATGTGTTTGTGATTTATTGTATTTTATGAGTGGTTACGTGTTGGTCTGCATTCATAGCGTGTTCTTGTATCATAATCTGTTCACAAGTCTTGCAGACTCATGGTTTACGCACTACCATCCTTGTCTTACATGTAAATCGATGTGCTAGTTGTAGGATATGCAATCACCCCTTTAAGCTATGACAACGTTGTTATGAGCTTAGTCGACATTCCGTATCTCATTGAAACTACGAAATTCTGGGTATCTCTTTTTTATTCAACCAGGGTCTACTGGTTTTTATCCTCGAAAAAAGGTGAAAAGGAGGTGTACTTGGAATATTTTAATTAACTATGTACAGGAATACTTGGCCGCTTATGCAGCCTAGTCATGTATTTGTTAGATATTTTTTTTTAAGTATATATGAAGACACTAAATATGGCATACTTTATGCATACTTTATGCAAAAGACTTTTCTATAACCTTCGATGCTGTTCATCCTTTCAAAGGCTTTGGGTCATTGATCTAGCCAAAACGGCGAAACCTCGGATAGATCTTGTCTATTAGCCGGCTCGGCGGGGGTTGGGCCTCTGATGAGAAATGCAGTATACCGAAGATGCGGTCATCCTTAACAGGAGGGGGTCATTTCAGGCTAAACTGACCGAATCCTATTATTTCTTCAGCGGATGGCTTATGGCTGAAATAGCTTGTTCTGAAGGTTAATTATAACTTGTGTAAGGTCTTTTTAGCAAGCACCGTTTTCTGTAAAGAGAGCATTAATCCAGATACCCAAGTGGTTGAAGTTATTATAAGGCTAAAATGAAGTTCGGGGAAAATGAAACCGGCTGATGTCCACCCTGGTGTAGAGCTACCCAAGCACCTTTACCCCCTTGAACCCCCCTTGCACCCCTAAACAGCCAACGGATGACCTGATCGACAAGTGTCGGTAAATGGAAAGATCTCAGGCTAAATTGTCTACATCAAGTGCCTGCCAATCCCGAAGCCCCGCGTGGGATCTCCTGGGATCGGCCGTGAAGTTTCCAAACTTGGCCCAAATGTGTGGGGGAATGGAATCTCTTACCCCAGACTATAAGTTGCCTCCCCCGTCGTAGGCAAAGATGTTGGAGTATCAGTTTACAAAGGCAGTCTTCTATAATGCCTAGCACTTCGCTACTCGCCTTGCTGGCGGCCTTCGCCCCAACTGTGTTGTCCCAGGACAACACCAGTTATGTGGACTACAATACCGAGCCACAACCGAATCTTTACCCCGAAACGATGGCAAAAGTCGATTTTGCTTTCCCAGACTGCTCCAATGGTCCACTCAGCAAGACAATTGTCTGTGACACCACCGCAAAGCCACACGACAGAGCGGCTGCCCTTATTTCCATGTTCACCTTTGAAGAACTCGTGAATAGTACTGGAAACGTCATTCCCGCAATTCCTCGGCTGGGCCTTCCACCTTACCAGGTTTGGAGCGAAGCTTTACATGGTTTGGATCGAGCAAATCTTACCGAATCCGGGGACTACAGCTGGGCTACCTCGTTCCCATCCCCCATCCTCACCATGGCTGCCCTGAACCGCACCTTGATCAACCAAATCGGTCAAATTATATCAACTCAAGGCAGAGCATTCAATAATGGGGGTCGGTATGGGCTCGATGTGTATGCACCAAACATCAATTCCTTCCGCCACCCAGTGTGGGGCCGTGGACAGGAAACTCCAGGCGAGGATGTCCAACTTTGCTCAGTTTACGGACTTGAGTACATAACAGGTGTTCAGGGTGGCTTGGACCCTAAGGATCTGAAATTAGCGGCAACAGCAAAGCATTACGCTGGCTATGACCTCGAGAATTGGGACAATCATTCAAGACTGGGAAATGATATGAGCATCAGCTCATACGACCTAGCCAGCTATTACACCCCTCAGTTTGTCACAGCAGTGAGGGATGCAAGAGTTCACAGCGTGATGTCATCGTATAACGCAGTCAATGGCGTTCCTTCATCGGCCAATTCTTTCTTACTCCAAACCCTCCTTCGTGACACCTGGAACTTTGTCGAGGATGGCTATGTTTCTTCTGACTGCGACGCTGTCTACAATGTCTTCAACCCCCATGGATATGCCTCCAGTGCCTCGCTCGCTGCGGCAAAAAGTATACAGGCAGGGACAGATATTGACTGTGGGGCGACGTATCAACTCTATCTGAATGAGTCGGTCTCCCAGGGCGAGATTGCCCGCAGTGAGATTGAACGTGCTGTCACTCGTTTCTATTCTAACCTCGTCAGTCTGGGCTACTTCGATGGCAACAACAGCAAATACCGAGATCTTGATTGGTCTGACGTTGTGGCCACTGATGCATGGAACATTTCATACGAGGCTGCCGTAGAAGGAATTGTCCTTCTCAAGAATGATGGCACTTTACCGCTGTCCAAGAACACCCGCAGTGTTGCATTGATTGGGCCATGGGCAAATGTAACAACTACATTGCAAGGAAATTACTATGGTGCAGCGCCCTATCTTACCGGTCCGCTCGCTGCCCTACAGGCCTCCGACTTCGATGTCAACTACGCCTTTGGCACCAATATTTCCTCAGAGTCCACTTCTGGGTTTGAAGCTGCTCTATCGGCTGCGAGGAAGTCTGATGTAATCATCTTCGCCGGTGGGATTGACAACACGGTTGAAGCAGAGGGGGTGGATCGCGCAAACATCACCTGGTCTGGTAACCAGCTCCAGCTGATCGATCAGTTGAGTGACCTGGGCAAGCCATTAGTTGTTCTACAGATGGGCGGTGGCCAAGTGGACTCTTCGTCGCTCAAGGCCAACAAGAACGTCAACTCTCTAGTTTGGGGTGGCTACCCGGGGCAATCCGGGGGGTCCTGCCATTCTGGACATTCTCACTGGAAAGCGTGCACCGGCTGGTCGTCTGACAGTTACCCAATACCCTGCTGAGTATGCTCTTCAATTCCCTGCTACGGACATGAGCTTGCGCCCCAAGGGCAACAACCCTGGGCAGACCTATATGTGGTATACAGGCAAGCCAGTTTACGAGTTTGGTCATGGGCTGTTCTACACAACATTCAAGGCATCACTGCCCGACTCCCACGGGACCAATAATGGAGCTTCCTTCGACATTGTGAAGCTTCTCTCACGATCAAACACTGCATACAACGTGGTCGAACAAGTCCCGTTCATGAATTACACCGTCGAAGTTAAGAACACCGGTGATGTCGCGTCTGACTATACCGCTATGGCCTTCGTCAACACAAAAGCTGGACCGAGCCCGCATCCCATCAAGTGGCTGGTTGGCTTTGATCGCCTTGGTGGAATTGGTCCCCAAGCCACTCAGACCATGAAAATTCCCATCTCACTGGACAATGTGGCTCGCACCGATGAGAATGGTAATCGCATTGTGTATCCCGGCAAGTATGAACTTTCGTTGAACAATGAACGTTCGGCCGTGCTGTCATTCACTTTAACTGGTGATGCGACCACCATTGCTACTTGGCCAAAGGAGAAACAACTTGTTCTTCCTTCGTGAAGGATGTCTTTTATCAGTGTATATTATAGTTGAATATGATATATGGCTAAACTCATGTTAACACTTTGGGATATAGTGGCAATGAAAAAGAATCTCGGCTGAGAAATTATCATATATACAGTCCAACAAGCGAAATAAAAATAAAAGTCAAGAAGATAGCACATGGTCATACTTCTGAGCGAGCCAGTATGGAATACAGCCGATTGGTAGTTATTTCAGCTCCAGAAGAGACAAAAACGTACAGTTTTAGTTTTTCCCAAAAAGGACGGGAAGCTGACTCTATACACATATAATTGGCCAGGGGGAAGAGTAGAGTAAATTCCCGCCTTACAAGGCGATGAATTCTTTTTCGTTGTTCTCCTCGATCAATTAGAAATTATTTTCAAAGCAACTCATTCTCCTTGGCTGGTTTTGGTTTGATTCAGATAGCTTTCTCAACATCAAGCATAACACCAAGCACTCGTTCACGACTCGCTAGACTACTGGAACTGAATCTAGTTTGATCTGCAACAAGTCACATTAAATTCAGTCGCAATTGCCAACCTACTGGAGATCTCGCCTTCTTGAATTTATCCAATTCAATGAACAAGCGCTCGTCCAATCGTCCTTGCCAAAACCAATCAGGTAATTTCCACCCGAACGCCAGAAGCATATTCCCCGTGTTCTTTATATCCTCCAGGGTATGCTTGATAGGACAGAGCCGCTCAGCGATCAGAACGGCAACTTCTAATGGAATGCTGCCGAACTGAGAAGGTAGATGACGGCTTCTTGATTCCCGCAGACTTTCGACATTTGCACAATTCATGGCTTGTTGAACTTCGGGCACGACTAGTGGATTCTGATAGATATCGAAGCCATACTCAAACTCCGATAGGACCTGGCGAGGTTCAATGAATCGCACGTTGTAGTCATATAATCGCCACAATTTGTTGTTTCGCCAGTGATTCCGACAGACTTGAATGAGTTTAGCGAGTTCAGCCTCTTTCAGTTTCCGCCCTTCAATTCGGCTGAAGAGCACCCAGCAATGGGCATGGATGAGATATCCAAGCAACTTCCCTTTATATTGACTGGGCTGTCTTCCAATGTTTGCAGCATAGAATTGGGTGAAATCAGAATTGTCGAATCGGTTAGTTCTTCTCTCATCGACTGTTTGATTATCTGAACCTTTCCTTCCACCGATTCTTGCCATTCCCGGATCATTTGGGGTATAGTAGGGGTAAGCTGCATGATGTCTGGCTATATTAATGCCCGTCAGACGGTACTTGGTACCTGACTCCTTGATTAATGTTCTAGTTAGAGAATCCGGGAAGATTTGACCGGAAGTCTTGAGAACTTACTGACTCGACAGAGGCATGCCCATAGCCGAGGGAAATCGCTCAAGTATGCCTCCTCTATCTCGTGAGATGGTACCATCACATGGTCTAGGTTAGATTTCCAAATCTCTTTCCATTGACTTCGATTGAGTATCTGGTCATGTTCAAATGTTTCTGCAATCCCAGAATCACACGTGTATGGGACTTCCATTCCACATAGGAGGCATAATAACGGTGTATTAACACCCGTAGTACTAACATTGGGGCGCGGAAGTACTATGTTGACACTCTAGTGGAGGGCATGAAATAGAGAACGAGTTTAATGGCGAATTCACGTATAATACAGGTCTTGATGTGCTCATAAAATAATGTCATGGTGAATAGTTGATTCACACCTGTAGAAGGTGTCCCTTGTTTGATAATCTGGAGATAGGTAAGGATACTGGGGTTATGCGTACAGAAAGTAATGGTCGATTAGTATCGCCTCTACTCGTTTTGGTTTGCACATTTTCTTTGGTGTTAATTAACTTAGAAGGGAGTAAATGTGGCATTAAATATCACCAAACATCAAAGTACCATCGTTCTGCTCTTTTTGAAACAAACCGTATATTCAATACAAGAAAAGTTTCAGACCCTTAAGTACTACCGCTGGCTTCTGAGGAGCGAGGCAATATCCTGATGACCTCGCGTAATGGCTGCTCGAAGGGGTGTTTTGTAGATACCAGCACGAATACTGCTGTCGGCGCCTCTGTCGAGAAGCATCTGCACTATTTTAATATTTCCGAACGAGGCGGCTGCATGCAAGGCAGTGCCATGAGGTCTTCCACGACCGTGAATATCAGCGCCATTGTCAAGTAACATCTTTGCTATGAGACATTGCCCTTTTGTAACCGCAGCAATCAGGGCTGTGCCCAGCTCATGTTCCGCGTTTATGTTGGCGCCGCTGTCGAGTAGCATTTGCACTATTTGCTGATTTCCGTTCATCGAAGCCGCTCTCAGTGCGTTTCCATGGCGCCTTGATTGTTGGTTGACATCTGCGTGATGGCTGAGCAAGATTTGTACAATCTCTTCCTGGCCGTGGAATGCTGCTGATTGCAAGCCGGTGTCAACATCATCCACTTGAGAATTGGGGTCAGCACCCTTGTCAAGCAAGAACCTTACTAGATTCCAGTGGCCCGCCCCAGCGGCAGCTTGCAAAGGACTTCCGTATAGTTCGCTCTTGCTATTGATATTTGCGTTGCTGTTGAGGAGGATCTCCACAGTTTTTAGCAGGCCATTGTCACATGCTGCGACCAGGGGACTTCCATACCATCCAGACGGAGCATCAACGTCGGCACCCCGCTCAAGAAGAAGTCTAACGATGGCGTCTTTTCCATACTGGGCAGCAGATGAAAGCGGGGTGTCGTGGTGCTGACTTATTCCATTTGGGTCTGCTCCATGGGAAAGGAGGTACTGGGTGACATTCAGATGATCTCCTGAGATGGCATGTTTTAGAGCAGTCCAACCACCGTTATGACAAATATCCACAGGGGACCCATGTCGAAGAAAAAAAGACACTGCTTCTTCAATTCCATAGTATGCAGCGAGATGCAGCCCCGCTCTTTGCCTCGGAAAACTCTGGCTCCAATCTTTTGGGATCGAGTGCCTTCTAACATGGACAGCTTGTTCTGAAGCATCAATTTTTGTCTGATGTTTCAAAAAGTCCATCACAGCCGGATATAAAGTTCCGGTCAGTTTTACGTGGTGGCCCCAATGCCATACCACATAAGGGTAGAATGGATAGGATTGTAAACGCTCGTCGAACGCCTCATCGCTTTCACAGATCCCAGATCCAAATGTGTCAAATAAAATGTAAGTAACACACAACCTGCTGATATCATTTTCTGCGGTGGGAAAGAGTAAATCTTTCTTCCGCTCGAGGTATTCTTGCGTCGTATAATGAACCAGTCGAATTATCCCGCTTTCGTTTTCAATGGTAACGAGTCCAGAGCATACAGCTAGGATGTCTTCAACTTCTGGCATGTTCTCTTCATCAATGGTGGATTCTCCTTCCTCTATTGCAAGCGCATGCTGGAGCTCCAAGGAAGTGAGTGGCCTTTTCGCGCATGTGAGCCAGGACAGAGTTTGCATCGCTAAGTCAGTCTGCTCTCCTATCTGCCCTTTAATGCGGCTTATTGCATTGTCGTAAGCCCTATCATATGGATAGTCATTAAACCCCTTCGAGAGCTCTTTCAGAGCGGTTCGAGTAGATTTGGCTGACCTTCTGCCAATCAATGACTCAAAGTAAAGCTGTGCAAGAAGGAACCTGAGGTTAAATGAGCAATCTAATTCTAAAGCAAAAGAACAAAGTCAATCAAGGGGACTAACATTCCCTGTACATGGCGTGAGATTACAGTCATAATCTCCTCTTGCAATGCAGTATTTCGGCTCACAAATCCCGGGAGCCGGAACATATTGCCATCAAGATATCGTCGAACGTCGTTCTCATGAGCCCGTATCTCCAAGAAGTTGCCTGATTTGAACAAATCATTTATCTCTGTGGGCCTTGACGTCGCAAGCACATTTGCTCCAGCATCGGCTTGAATTTTCATGATCTCGCCCAAAACCCTGGTACGGCAAGTAGATTCGCACTCATCGAGGGCATCGACAACAATAAACACATCGGAATACGTGGAGACAACGGAGTGAAGAGCTTTTGATATTTCATCGAATCGCGGACGTGTCGATGTAGTTTTGTAGCGCTTGTAGAGGTCTCTCACGGAATCTGGGACGGCTGTCCTCCTCTGGCTTAATTGCTTCAACAGACTTAGAAGCAAATCTTGAGCCTTCTGTTCATCTTGACGATTAAAGTTGCAGTAGATGTAAGCTATACCGACATCTGGCCTATTCTCAAATCGCGTAGTCAAATCATCGACAAGGATCGCAGAACATATGGTCTTCCCCGCACCCGGCATTCCTGGACAAAACAAGGTGGCTCGTGGTGTGCGAAGCCAATGTATATACTGATCCGAAGCGAGAAGCCATTTTCCAGTTCCTTCTTGTCGTCGAGCGAGGAGATCGCTCTGCTGCAAAGTGTAATCAACGTCAGACAGCCAGTTGAGGATACCAGATTGTTCACTGCTTTCTTGTCGCTGGTTGAGGTGTTCCAGTGTTTGTTTCGTCGCAGTCATCGTTTGACTATAGATGTTAGATCTTAGTCATACCAAGTCAAGTGTACCTAAGTCTCAAAAAGGGCAGAAAGGAGGAGATATATATGATACCTTGATATAGCACTCAAGAATGACTGGAGTAATGTCACATTAGATAATAACCGATCTCGAAGTTCGCCTATGTCTTTCGGCTCCCAGGCGATCCTCTTCCAAATACTTCTAGCTTTCTTGTGAATCGATGTACCGCAATATTCAACGACCTTATATTTCCCAATGGCATCTTGAACCTCGTTCAGCAGGGTCTCACAGTTATGACTAATTTCTCCTAGTTGTTTGCGTTGGCGATCATCAATATCGTAACCCGGTAGTTGAATATCAACGTCTTGGAGAATAATTGTCAGTCCTCTGACCCTATATAGACGAAAAACATCAGTTCCTGGCCAACGACTTATGTGTACAATATGGACGCACTCTCTAGAAATACTGTTGAACTGGCTAGGGGCACCAACAAAGTCTCGTCGGAGCTTATTAGCTAATGTAATAACGGAAACGAAGTCCCCAAGGCTGAATCCGAAACTCATCGTGGATATTATTCGACTTCTGATGTAATATTGCCTTGGGGGAGCATGTGAGAAATTTTAGATTTCGAATATGTCAGACTTGCTATTATTCTACAGCGAACCCCGAATTGTGGACTACTTAGCGCCTTTTAGGTATGTACATCTGTCTGGCGTTCAGTTGTTAGGATTGATTGGCTATTTGATACCCTCTTCAAGGTGCTGCTTGCATTAGCGTGTGAGTTGTCTGTGTACTTTCGTTTCCGAGGCAGGTGGATCATATTAGAGTGAGAAAATCCATCCTGTATACGTATCTACCAATAGCAGTGGATGGTTGGTTGCAATGATACAGTAGCGCTTAAGCACAGTTCTTGTTTCGATTATTTTTAGTTCCCCGCCTAAATGTTGCTTTTCGATTTTGTTTTTGCTTTTCTTCTTTTTATTTAAAAAAAAAGATTGGGAAATGCTATAGTGGCAACAAACGGTCGAATGATTTCTTCTTGGTCTGATCTAAGGTTTCCTGACCATATATGTTAGTATACAAAATCCGAAGCATTGAACTACTCGAGGAGCGCATTATATTAAAAATATCTTACTCCAGGTCCATGTTATAGTAGCCGACAACTTTATAGATACAACAATATGCAGCGGAGACTGGATAAATGTGCTGATATATTATTTGGAATAAGTCCTGGTAGTGATAACTGTAGCAAGAAGAAAGTGAACGAGGGAAATCAGATTCAGGCAGCAATAAGGCATAATTCAGGCATTAATGATGACCTCGGGATGAAGTGATATCATTGGCCATCCCCTTGAATCATCTCCGATAACGTCAGGGAACCCCCGCAGTCGCCGAAGTGCCGTGTTTTTTTTTTTTGCGCGTTTCCATGCTAACAGCAATTTAATATATTTCCATGTCTTGCGAGAGACTATGAACCAGAGCCCGCCCAATGCTCAACCCTTACCGGGTCCTTCCATCCCTGGCAGCTCGTTTGCTCCGTCATCATTGAGGGGACCTTTGGCTGGAGGTCGCCAGATCACCCGAAACCGTGCGAGCTACAGCTGTCACACGTGTCGGCGTCGGAAGGTCAAATGCGACAAGGTAGATTGATCTGATTGCGACCAACACCGAAGTTCCTGATCCAAGCTAACACATACATTTCCTTCTAGATACACCCAATATGTGGAAACTGCGTGAAGAACAACACCGAGTGTACATATGATGTGTCATCCCAAAAAGATGACGATGAGCGCGATGTCTCTTCCCAAAATTCGCATGGTGTCAAACGAAGGAGAGGGATGCCACGGACATTGGAGGAGGATGTTGACGAGCTCCAGTCACTTTACGGACAGTTGAGGCGGGCAGAGTCGACAGGCGAAAAGCCCGACCCAAGCGCCATTGAATCGCGACTCGACAAGCTTATGTCAATGATTGAGCGCCTCAGGGAGAGCGGTCAAACACTTGAGGACGCGGGGATGCAGGCAACGGCCTTGGATGCGAAAGCGGAACCCACACAGTTCGATGACCCACGAGCGAGCAATGATCCGAACGGAAATAAAACACCGTCAAGATCTACCAGCCCACGTCGCAATGCTGCAGAGTCAAGCACTGATGAATTTCCGATCCCATCCGGTCAGGCCAACGATCTAGTAGACCCGGTTGGCAGTCTGAACTTGGGCCATTTGAGTCTGGAGGACGGTGGAAGGTCAAGGTTGGTCGGAATTGCTTTGTTCGAAGTGTAAAAGTTTCTAACTATAATTAGATATGTTGGCACCACGTATTGGGCATATATCTCAGGCGAAGTATGCTGTCCTCTGGGCTTTCCTACAGGTAGACCATTTTGACTAACTCGCATCCAGATCAATGAGCTCAATCAATTGTTGAGAGATCAGAATAGCTCACACGATCAGTCTACTTTTGAAAAGAATAATGAAAACATAACAGATTCGCATGCCGATGGCCGGCAGCCCTGGAGAGAATCAATAGGCAGCTCGACACCTTCAACCGCACCCAGGTCTCGTTCCTTCCAACAATCTGTAATCTTCCCTTCGGGTGACTCTCCCTCGATCAATGAAAAAATGGTGGAGCCAGAAATGCTCGATCACATTCCAACGAGACGGCAAAGCCATATTCTTTACAAAGGATTCATTTCCGGTATACACGCCATCAGTCCTATCATTCACCCTCCAACTATCCTCAAGCTTTACAATTCCTTCTGGGATTGGTATGACTACAGCAGCTATTCAGGAGAGCCGTGCCCCAATCCATCATTCATTCCGTTGTTGTACGCGATATGGTATGGTGGATCAGTGACGATTTCGATCCGAGCAATTAAAGCTGAATTCAATGTGTCCTCGCGGTCGGCCCTTTCAACAATTTATACTGAGGAAGTTACCAGGTGGCTTACGAGGATCAAATTCCCGCGCAGCCCTTCACTTCAAGGCCTCGCTGCTTATCTTCTTGTGCAGACAATTGTCACGAAGGAGGAAGAGCCTTTGACCACTAGTCTCTTTGTTAGCCTCGCTATGAGGGTTGCGCAAACCATGGGATTGCATCGTGACCCGGCTAAGTTTGGCATAGAACCATGTGAAGCTGAGTATCGGCGCCGTTTATGGTGGCACATTATGCACATGGACGGTGTCGTTGCGATGTCTAGCGGTCTGCCTCCGCTTGTCAACGACGAAAATTATTGGGATGTGTGCGAGACGAATGAAATCAAAGATACGATGCTAGGTACCCCTGCTGCAGAGTCCTACATGAAACAGGTTGCTTCACGGGAGCGGCTGCCTGATAATCCAGATGATCCCACTATTTGCGGCGGACCATCAATGGTCAACGTCTACTACCTGACTGCAAGAGGGAAATACACCATGGCTCGTGCGTGTCCCTTTTCATTTGAAAATTCGCCTGCTAATTATTGCCAGGCGCTATCCGCCAAATATTGAAAATCCAGCTTGGAATAAAACCTCTCACCAGACAGGACATGGAGGAGCTCCGGTCCATACTTCTTGACTTGCAGCTGAAACTGAATTCCATCATCAACAGGATTCCAGAGTGCAAGGATGTTGATAACCTATCAACGCCAGGCCGAGCTTTTTCTATGTCCAAATCTCCCGATGGCCGTTCTTCCGACACAGAGCTTCCAGGCGAAGGTCCCACCGGATGCCCAGAACAGTATCACTCACCGGTTCTCGTTTGCTTCCACAAATGGGCGAGGATCATTCTTTCCTTGTATATTGACAAGGTGCGCTTTTTCAACGTTTGCTGGTTTCATACCCAACTAACCTTCCTATAGGCCTTCTGCGTGGCCTACCAGCCTTTTCTAAAGAACGCTCGTAGCCGGATTTGGCCAGCGGCACGCCAGAGGTTTGCACACACCATCAGGAAATGAGTATTTATACTAATATTGTTAGTGCACTTCGCCATTGCCATGGTTTCATGGAAAAATTCATCCAACTCGCAACGGATTCTGATTTCCAGCCCTTTCATTGGAGCTGGCCTGGGTAAGCTTTTTCACTAGGTATTCTGTTAGTAAAGAATTATAGGCAACTAATGTTTCTTTTTTAGCAATCATCAACCAATGCATGCTACTATGTATGACTCCATCATCAGGTGTTGGTAACCATGCTAATGAGATACAGGATCATGCTTATTGACCTATATGAGCGACCTTACAGCCCTGAAGCATCCAGGTCCCGCGCGTTCATCGACAGCATACTCGCACTTTCTGGGCCAGATGGAGGTGTCGTAGGTGGTGAAGACGGTGTCTCAACACAACGGCCACTAAAGGACGGTGGCCGTGAAGCCTGGGATATGATCCGCCGTCTTCGCCAGAAGGCCTGGCAAAAGGCTGGTCTCAATCCACGAATGCTCTGGACCGAACAAGACCAGATCCAGGCTGGAGTCGCTTCGTCAGTTGACACTCCCGGGGGGACTTACTCTCCTTGCTCAGATCCCTCTCAGGCCGGATCCCCAGGTTCAGCATCGCCTGACCATCCCTCAGCACACAACCCTCAACGCAACGATTTCGTCAAAACATTCTACAACCTCACCCGCTCCCACGCATTCTCGAATCCTGTCACCCCAGATGTTACTGAAAGTCCCTTGCCATACCAATACCAACACCAACCACAGAATAAACCCTTACCCCCAGTTTCACATTCCCAATCCCATCCTACCCCAGCCGATAACTCCATACCTCCCTGCATTCGCACCTCCTCTCCCAATACGGACTCCTTGTTTGGTGCACCTCCACCGACACTATCTTCTGCAACCACCACTCCCGCCCCACATGCTCAGCCTTCAGATTCTGATATTACTGCTGGTCGTATGCCCTCCGTGGACCCTACGTCTCTTAGTGGTTTACCCTTGGGAATTCCTACACCGCCATCGATGGTTGACCCCAACCTCAACTTCGACTGGGACCAGTGGGATGCTGTGTTCGGACAACATCTTCCTGTCGCAGATGATCTGATGGAATTGGATCCCGTTTCGGGTCTTGATTTCACCCATGCTGGAACTGCCTCAACGTTTAATGGCATTAGCCCTATCGACATGTCTACTTCATATGCCAATGGTCTTCCACTTCCAGCCGCCTCCCCAGAAGGGAGTTTCCCGTCATGGAATGGGAACAATGGAGCTGACTGGACGGAATATTCTTAATACATTCATAGTATATGTAGTCATAGGATTATGAGCGATATATCCGTCAAATCCGCAAATATTTACATGAACATAATGATTGGTGTCGCTTTGCTCATTTTGGTGACATGTCAGACGCTTTTGGGGGAGAAGGACAGGGGCGAGGAGTCTCGTAATGAGTATCCATTTCTCAAGGCAAGACTGTTACTGGATCAACAAGACTGAAGACAGACTACATAATACAAGCCAAAATATAAGACATGACAGATAATTTCATGAAGCGTAACTCTTGATGATCCAATGGATCACTAACTCGGGATACGAAAAGTGCGAGAGGGTTATTAGAACAGACAGGCCCAGGGAAGGGGAATAAGTAGCCGTTGCGTCTGAGCTGTAACTCGCAATTCTTCCAAGACGTATTTGTTCGTGTAGGGTGCGTGTATTTTTACTACCAGCTTCTTTGGGATGACAAGAGTTGCTTAGACCTTCATCTCCTTGAGACCGTCAGCCCAGACGGTAGCGTAGGGGGTAACACCATCCTCGCGGAAGTCAATCAGAACGTGCCTAGGAACAGTTAATTTCAGATTTCAAGGGTAAAGGTATCATATGGACACATACATAGCATCACCGTCCATGGACTGGCCCATGAGAACATCGTAGTTGTCCCAGTTGGCAAGGATCTTCTTCATAGCGCCGGCGGCCTTGGTCTTCCAGACCTTCTCGGCCTCTGCAGGATCATCGGCCTTGGCGAAGCCAGGAGCGGCGTTCTTGTGGAGCTTCTTAAGGTAAGCTGTATTAAAGAACAAAAGTCAGTTATTTGCGCAGACCAAGCAGAGATCAAAGGGCAAGCATACACTTGATGTGGGTCTTGTAGCTCTCCTTGGAGGGCTTGGCGCCGTCCTCAATCTTGAGCCAGACCAGACGGAACTGGTCCTCGATATCGTGGACCATGGTGGCCTCACCCTCGCCACCTTCATCCTCAGCGTCCTCGGCGGAGGGGTTGGCACCCTCGAGCTGGAATTCCTCGTTGGCACGCTTCAGGTACTTGCGGCAGTCACACTCCCAAAGGATATCGAACTCCTTGTTGGGGACAAGGTTAAAGGTATCGGCGACGATCTCGTCGCCGGAAACGATGTCCTGGCGGGTTTTGTCAGTTGAGATTCTGCAAACAAAGAGGGGTAAATCGAAGAATCCGATATTGACAAACATACAGTGTAGATAAGCATTTTGGCGGAATTATATGTTAAGAAGATGAAGGGTGTAAGAGAGTAAGGTGGCACGGGAAGGGAAGAAAAACACTTTCAAGGTGGGGGGACGAGGTTTTTCTTTAAAAAAAAAAAAAAATAGAGCGGGGGGACTTGTGTTTGTTCAGTTTGTACCCGATGGGTATTGGGGAGTCTGGGCCACCGCCACTGGCTCCGCGTTAGCGCAGTATTTGGTACTTCAAGGTACTTCATAGATATAATGTCATTTTTGGAGATAAAAATGGTATATATAGAGGTCAATTAAATTGGGATATGTACTGTGACCATAGAATTAAATTGAAATAATTAATTAAGATCAATTGATGTTCGTTTTCACTGTTGCAACCAATTCTCTTCCCTTCAGGAACTGTTCAGGTCGAAGTATATAACTTAGTCAGCATCAATCTATTTCATACTGTACCATACTGTATCACTCAATATCCTCGCCCATTATACCTTGAAATACCGTCAATACATGTATTATCCTGATTTTGTCTTGGCCTCGGGCTCGCGCCACCCGAATCCGGGCGTCTCCTGATCTGAACGTTTATCCTTTATCTTCGAGCATTCCTACGTTCCTATTCTTTCCTTCATCATTATCTGATTCTCCTTGTTTTTTTTTTACATACTTCCTTTTGAATGTACCGGCCTGCGCCGAGAGGTCTCTGACTGATCGGAATCATTCTGCCTCGCGCCTACCCGTCATCATCCGGACTTCGGCGTGGTGGGCAGTTGCGAACATCCGTTCTCTTTTCTTTACCTGATTTCTGACCTTGGGGCCATTTCAAAATCAAAGATATTGATTCTGAGATCCCTTCGATCATCGTTCTTGGATCCTCGGTGCTACTGACTCAACGCATCGCCATTCTTCCGTCATGGCTGTGAACGCATCCGTCGCGTTCGACCTTCCTCCCCTACCAACCTACACCTTGACCGCGCGAGAGCATTTACTTGCTCCTCTTCCTGACAATATCCTTTCGCTCATATTGCCTGTCGCCGCTTATTGGGGCCTGTCCATGATCTATCATTTCCTCGATGTCAATGATTACTTTGTCGAATACCGGCTCCACACCCCCGCAGAAGTCCTGAAACGAAACAAAGTGACCCGCTGGGAAGTTGTACGGGATGTTGTCTTACAACAATTGATTCAAACCGTGGCCGGCTTTGCCTTCTTATACTTTGACGCCGAGGAAACTGTTGGGAGAGAGGAATATGACGTGGCCGTGTGGGCGCAGCGATTGCGGATCGCCCAAAAGGCTGTTCCATCGTTATTAGCTCTTGTTGGAGTTGACGCTATCAGACTTGGAAAGTCTGTATCCCAAAACGGTTATACCATGTTAGCCGGAGCTCTGGCTGGTGGATCATACCCCGGTGTGACCCAGTCCATAATCCTCGGCAATGGAGCAAAGGCTGTAGCGCCCGCATTCGCGAGCTGGGAACTTGCAGTTGCCGGTTTCATATATTGGTACTTTGTACCGACCCTCCAGTTCGTGCTGGCGATTTGCATTGTAGATACTTGGCAGTACTTCCTCCACCGCGCTATGCATATGAACCGGTGGCTCTATGGTATGTCTGACATTTCGAAGTTGATTGATGGTTCCATACTAACCAGCTATTAGCGACTTTCCACTCCCGCCACCACCGTCTTTACGTTCCATATGCTTTCGGTGCCCTCTACAACCACCCAGTTGAGGGATTCCTCCTGGATACGGCTGGCACTGGTATTGGATTCTTGGTCTCTGGCATGAATACCCGCCAGGCCATGTGGTTCTTTACAATGTCGACTATCAAAACTGTCGACGATCACTGTGGCTATGCCTTCCCTTGGGATCCACTCCAGCATTTTACCTCCAACAACGCCGCCTACCACGATATTCATCACCAAAGCTGGGGTATCAAGACCAACTTCTCCCAGCCTTTCTTTATCTTCTGGGACCGTCTTCTTGGCACTCGGTGGACTGGTGAGGTCAAGCTGCGCTACGAGCGAGCCCGCGAGAATGCCCAGAAGCAGGTGGATCTGGATGCTGCCCAGGCGCCTAATACAATTCCGGCTGTGACAGTGACCGAGGAACGTGAACATGAGCGGGTAGTGGTATCACCCGAGGGACCTGCGACCCGCACTCGGCTGCGCCGAAAGACTGTTGATAGTCTGAAGGGCCCGAGTCATGGGGTTCCGGGAAGTGTTCTCCACAACTAAACCCGTGATTAAATGAAGCCCGAGCATGTGTTGATTTTTTTTCTATGCGTCCCCCAACCCCGTCCCTGGAGCTGCTGGCCGTCTCCGGCAGACCGTGGGGCTTTCCGTCATTTTTTGTATATGGGATCAATGGCCCAATGTATTAATACTTCAGAATGCGCCAGTCAATGCTTTGTACATGGTTCGCTCTATCGCCTACTGTTAATAATGTTTATTATTTGCCATTTACATTTTCCTCTGAGTATTCGGTGTTTACTCGATAAATTTGCAAATATCATGAACCACTCTCAACAACAAAGTGAAAAACAAAATGACATTCAGAAAGCACCAATTCCAAAGGATATGTCAAAAAGGAAATGACAACAAACGAATACAAGAAATGAAAGTGACTAGGAGAGATCAAATCATATTCGACTGTTCACACACCAAATTCCAAGTAGTCCTCGCTGCCGAGCCACTCTCTGGCTTTCCCCAGTCTTTATCTTCATCACTCCACTCACTGTCGGTGGAACGGATCGACGGAGAGCGACACCGTAATGGGACGTTGCTACTACCTTGCATTGGGCAGTAATCCGTGCTTCGCGAGTCAGGGTCTGTCCCCGTGCCCTTGTACATCTCAAGCAATTCGTCGATTTCCTCCATAGTCCCCGAAAAAGTACTTGCAGGGTGTGATAGGGGTGCTTCTGGGGGTCTATTGTCATCGGCGAAATCCACGAATCTAGTGATACGATCCGGGTTTGGGTCTGAGCGTCGGTCTCGCTTTATGTGGTACGATCTCGAATCCTTCCGGGAGGGGCTCGATGTCGGATGATATATTCTGTGCCCTTCATTGTTAGTGTCAGTACATTGAAACGACGAGGAGGATTTGGAGACATACCTTTCTGCGGGGTGGGATATTTTGATTGGAGGTGGTGGCTGGGGATACTTCTTCCTCGGGTTATACTCACTAGCCGGTTTTTGGCTACGTGCATCCTTGCCACTCTTCTTGTTTTTGTCACCCTTGTTCGTTTTTCTGATCTTGTCATCATCGGTGTGCCTTCGTTGTAGGGGTCTCAGATCCGCATGTGCTGGGTCTTTAAACCAGGCCTTGCTACAGGCCTTGCGGGTATCCTTCAGGATGAATGCAAACTGGCTAGATGTGCCATACAGTTCATCCACCTCATCAGGGAATAGGTCAATACAGGTGTTGACGAACTTCATAAGTCTTCGTGGCACATGATTCAAACGAGTCTGCGTGCGAGAGAGCAGGGCTATTCGAAGATTGCGCAATGCATGCTTGTCACTCGCAACTCGAGCCACCATACACCCCTGACAGCAGCTGATCTCATAGTGCCAAGCTCCTGAGATAACCAGGTCTTTCGGGTCAGGTTTCTCCCACATGCCCTGTATGGCCTGTAGTTTCTGCAGGATCAATATATCGAGAGGCTTGAGCAAGTCCGGGTATGCGTCAAACTTGCGAAGGTGGTGACCGACCTCCCTCTGGATAAGAATGAACACGTCGTTCATGAGATATGCATTCAGACCCTGATGGGCATCACACATATCCTTGTTCGTTCTTGACCAGCGATCACGGCGCATTTTCTTTGGCAATTCGCGGATCATACGCTTGACGACCTCATCAGTGTGTCTCGCCATTGTGCTGTCTATGTGCAAGATCTCTGTTAGCTTTTTAAGCTCGTCCCTTCTCAGGTCTGTGACAAACCGGGTGTCTCTTTGTCCTGAGAAAAGGGATCTACGTCTACCGATTGTGTCTCGACTGTTTTCGAACCACCCTCCATCTTTTCCCATTGCCTTTGGTTATCGCTGGTTTAAAAGGGGATTGGGTGGAGGTAGTCTCGTGGTGGACTTTGGATGATATATGCTTGTCCTAAAGGAAAGCAATATGGGGTTCGAATGTCAGGTTCAAGTTATACTTGTTGGGAATGGGATATAGTCACTAAATTGTCTTCGTTCACTCAAGTAACAAATTTTATGCACAGCCGCTTTACTACGTCTGGGGTTGGTCTTGATATTTCGTTGGAGAGAAGAATTCCGCCTTAACAAGAATATTTATATACTCCTATTGAAGTGGGATGTTCTCGGCGTGCTTTCATAATGTAAATACCACTAAACAATGTCTTTTCAGTTCTTAAAGAGAACAAACGCCTTATTGTGTTGTCCTATTGGTGTCCTATTGGTGTTTATTTCCGTGACCGTCAAAGGGAACGATCCTATTGATCGATCTACGGCAAACACAATGAACTGTGCTATTAATGAACTAATGAACTTCATCAATGGTCTTTGTTCTTTCGTCTCATTCAATATATTAGACTTGCCCTGTCTCATCCTCTCATCCTATCTCATTTCTTTCTTAATTTTCTCTCATACCAATCTCTACCTATCCCAGACGTTCCACCATGGGAAACCAAGCCTCGGCCATGGACTCCTCTCGAGTCACAAAGAAAGAAAAGAAGTGCACCAAGATTCGAGGGATGTTCAATTATCCAAACGGACGAAACATCCCCGAAGGACACAATTCCACCAAAGCAAACCAATGGGTGACTGTCTTCTTCAACTGGACCGACCACAAATATAATGATGAAGAGTTGATGGATCTTGTTATGGCTCGCATCAACTCCCGAGACGGTATCATTTCGTCCGAACCGGTCCATCACGATGTCAAATGGTGTCAATCCCTACGTATCCCAGGATACTGGAATCCTACCGATGTTTCGATTGCCGCCGCCGCCAAAGTCCTTGCACGATGGCACCAGAGTGAAATGCGCCATGCCGGTATGAAGATCAACCGAAGATATCTTTTCCGCGGCAACAATCACAAGCGTCGAAAGAAGCGTCACGTTGTTCGCTAAGATTCTCCTCTCTTGTTCTATCATTGTCTCGATCTATATCTAATCTTGCTTTGACTTTAGCAGAATATCCCTCCCGATACTTGCAAACTGGTCGCCTCAGAACTTGTCGTCCGTGTTGACTTCTCTTGATGACAAGAAATATGTTTCATTCTACAATGGAGAAATCAACGAAAGGATGTAAATAATAGTATTACTTTAATGAATGTGAAAGAAAACATCTTCCTAACTCAGCGGATGTAGTCACAAGGGATAGAATGACAGCAGGCGCCATCGGTATCACATGACAAGACCAGGCTTCCTCTTTTGTTTCTTTTCATTTTTCATCTCTCGACGTTACACTTCTCCCTAACTACGTTTCACAATGACTTGTCCGGGTAAAGAGGGTACTCCGTTGCCCTACACTGCTTCACCCGTCAAGTTACTCCGGAGCGACTTGTCCTTGTTTATTTCCAAGCTATGGGCGCTTCCAGGTCTCTTTCTGCCCCTGAATCTAGCTCGCACCCGTGAGTTGGACGAGCTCTATCCATCGTTACGCAATGGGGCTACCGTGTTGATTCATATATTTCTCGTGGCTTATCAACTTGTTGTCTTGCTCTCGTTGCCGATCATGGTTATCTGTATGCTTCCAGGCCTCTGGATCCTTGCTTATTCGACTATTGCTTTCACTATCAATTATGCGATTGTCATGTTGATGTTGAACGGCTTCGAGCAGATTCTGGTATCCCAAGTGCCCGTGGTTGAGCAACCAGGTCATGAGCGGGAGCGTTGGCTGTATATAAATGGAATAGCAGCTGGGTAGGACAGATATCCCCTTGGTTGCTTGTTTTCAACTGCTGACTCAAATTACCTCTAGGCATCACTGGGTACAGATGAACATAGATCAACTGTCATACATCTTTGGTCGAAAAGTGACTGGTGTGCATAATCGCACGTAAGTGTCGTCTTGGATCTCAGGTTCGCAAACTCTAATGATAATTAGCGCGGGCGTTGTCTTTGATCTCATCGAGTGTCTGATTCAACGGGATTTTGCATACGCAACTGACGATATACGACGATCATATGCCTTGGTCAAGGAAGCTCTCTTGGACCCAGAATGTGACAAAGTGGTTCTGCTTCTTCATAGCCAAGGCGGTATCGAAGGGGGACTTGTCCTGGACTGGCTTCTGGATGAGCTACCACACGATCTTCTTCATCATTTGGAGGTATATACCTTCGGAAATGCCGCGAATCACTTCAACAACCCGCGATGGACAAAACTACCCAGGCCACAGTGGATTTCAACCCCTGATCCAGCGCATCAATTTGGTCAATCCATCGGCCATATCGAGCATTACGCCAATGCGGGCGATATTGTGGCTCTGGGAGGAGTGCTCCACTTCGTGGACATCCCAAATCGATACATGGGCCGGCTGTTCGTGCGCCCGAATTCAGGCCACCTACTTAACATGCATTACCTGAGCAACATGTTTACCCTAGGCCCTGATATGAAGGTTCTTGACTCCAATCCATTCATGGATATGGAAGTTGAACCATGGGCAACTGCCGGTATAAATGGATATGATGGCCCTCCGCATCGAGTCAGGTATCAACCCACTATAGCCCGAGACGAGGCGTTCCTCCCCGCCGAATTGAGCCTGCAACGGTCACAAACGAATGGTGTGGATCAAATACTGCGTGTCAAGGACTTCAGTCGACTCTGGCAATATAGAAATGGAGGACGCCCGAAAGAGACCGAGGCGGGGCATAATACTGACACCCACGAACATGTCAATTTAGTATAAATTAACCCCGTCCAGGGCGTATGATACGTCTTTCTTTGTTCTCTTCTAAATGAGTTCTGCTAAATTCAAACTCGCAAACTCAAACCAGACCTACCAAAGTAATTACATGGGAAGTCCCTTTAACAGACGGGTGGACGGTAATTGTCTTCACCAACCGTGGCTCTTCGTAGTCCCAGTATTTAATCTATACTAATTTGTTTGACTAGTGAGGAGTAGGTTAACAGGCCACTAGGTCAAATAAGAAACACATGATTCTGATCCTTACTAGTTACTATTAGTCTTATAGTCATCACAAGGGTATCCTGGTCAGTTGTAAGGCAATCCACCTAAATCAGGTAGCTTCGCCTGTCACCGGGTCATAATAACCCCTATAAACTACCAGGAATCACTAGTAAACGCTCAACAATGATCACCACGAGTTGATGACCTGGTGACCTGGCGATCTCCCTATTCAGGCAATTCGCGTGCCGTATACTCTACCTAACTTCGGGTAGTATATGTGAGCCCCTTAGGCTTCCGATACTCCTCACTTCGATCTTTTTCTTGATCTGTATAGGTTTGCATAAGGGTATAAAGTACGCATATATATATTCATAAAGCATGGTCCACATCCCCTTGGTTAATCTGGAGTTCGGACGCCTGGACGTCCGAGGTTCCAAATTAGGCTGAGTACTCTTGATTCAAGCTGTTTAGAAATGCAGCCCTTTTCCATATTGGCTTCGATGGTTGGAGGTTTGATGCCCCACAAAAACGAAAGGGAAAGTTCAGCACGTAGTTCGAATGCCAGCAAGGGTGTTTCCGAAGGTGAGATATACTCAAATGCGAGCACATTCATGACTGCGGGCATCGAGACTACAGCGACTGCTCTTAGTGGTTTGACTTGGCTACTTTGCAAGAACCCAGAATCGTTGCAGAAACTCACAGATGAGATTTGCGGCCTTGGGGGTAGAGAAAGTCTTACTGGTACCAAGTTGCAGCGATTAGTATACCTCAACGCCTATCTCGAGGAGGGTCTCAGAAGAAACCGCTCTTTGTGCGTTTGACACCTACTAGTTGAGTTATGCAAGGAATACATTGATACATATGAGACACGAGTAATCCAGGGGGCTATTGATGATGGCTCTAGTATTCCATGGTGGTCTGGCATAGCCCTAATCAATTTTGGCCCGACGGGATAGTGCATGGGTCGGCTGATCTGCTTCTCAAAACATCATTATGGCCTTGAAATTATACAGCCAAGCATTTGCATAGCATACACGCAGGTTTTCGTCGCGTTTACCTTCTGAACCCATGTTTCATCTAGGTTCGATAAAATGTAGGATGTATACAAGATACTGTCACAGAACTACCGGGTAGATGTTGGACATGATTTGAGGATGTACAATGAGATCAATTCAGATGCAGGTCTGTGGTATCAAGGAAGTATCCTTTCTCGAGTGCATCAAACATTAGGGAGAAAAAAGCAACGCCCATCGCCATACAATGCAAGTGGAACACGGAATAAAGGACAAAGGACAAAGGACAAAGGACATGCTAGATCATGCCCTGATCACCCTCTTCTTTTCCTTCTTTTTCTTTTCACCTGCCCCTGAGGGCTCACCGCCCATACCACCCATTCCACCCATTCCACCTAGTCCACCCAACATATTGCTCAATCCGCCCATTCCACCCATTTGACTCATCATTTCCGACATGTTAGGCATTCCCTCCATACCCTGCATACCCTGCATCTCGGCCATTGCATCCTTGAGGGGGTTGTCACTGACACCACCACCGCTGTAGGCAGGCGAATGGATGGGTAAGATCTTCCCGATCTTCCAACCCCGCGGGGCAGCGGGGGCTGCGGGAAGCTTCTCAGGCATAGGCAAACCACGGATCCGTAGCCGGTAGGGTGATTTTTCGGTAGTAGGGTTAGCCTTCAAGAACTGTGCGACGAGAATATAGAGGTGGTGCTCTAAATAACGATGTCAGTTTGAGTCCAACAGTAGAAACCATCAAAGGTATCAGGCACGTACTGTTCTTGATCTTCGGGTTGGCCAATTGTCCATCCTCGTTCTTAACCTGCACACGCACACGACCGGGATTCGCCCAATCCTTAGGATGCAGCTTTTCAGGCTCCAAGCCCGCATTCAAGCCAAGCATCTGGACGGCATCGACGATATCTCGCGCAAGAGGGTTTTCCACTGCGAGCTCCGCGCCCACTTTGCGGCCTTCGGCGCGCGACCGGGTCTTGTCGAAGTACACGGGGTACAAACATGAGAAGTGTCGGGGAATCTCGCGCTGGGGCTCAGGCACCGGCATCGATGGCATGGGCATCTGTTGTTGTTGGGGTTGGGGTGCAGCCCTGGTTGGGATATTTACGGGTGAGATGATGGCATTTCTAGGGAGGTCCTCGTCGGAGTCGTAAGAGGGGGCAATCTCTTCTGGGTCGGAGTCGGAGACTTCCTCGATTTGGGCGTGACGCGACATTGTGGAGGGTTGAATTTGTGGAATGGGGGAGTTGTCTGGGGAAGGCCGCGGGAATTGTGGCCAAGTCAGAGGGGCAGAATGCAGAGTGTGCGGGCGGTGGGACGTGGGGATGTTTCAACGTACTAAGTGCGCGTCAATTATTGTTAGTATAGTACAATTATATCTATAATTTAAAGTAACAATCGTGAATATAATATTCAACTCCATTGTTTCAATCTGTATGAAGAATAGGAGCCCCATGCTCTATTTAATGTCTTATTTAGGCACCTAAACTGGACTATAGCCAAGTGTATTCTTGTAATATGCAGCTAGATATGATGTTATCTTTCCTAGATATATTCTCAAGCTATGAGTCATTGTCAAGCTCTAATCTAAAGCTTTCTCCTCGAACAAGATAGACCTGATACACCTGATAGATCAAAATAGGAAATTAAATCGGGCAAAAGTCCATCCCCCGCCCCCGGACCAATTAAGGGCTCGGCTTCTTCCTTTCGGCATGCCGAACCCACTTCGCCCCGCAGAGCCATTGCCTCGGGTGAAACGTCGAAGAGATATCAATGGCTATAAATAAGGCTTTTCGTCTCTTCGAGCTTTCTTTCTTTCAACTAAACTTCTCTAAATTTCAACCATGACCAATGGTATGTCAAATACGTGCAATATATTAGCATATTCCTCATCCTGATATACTTCCCAGAAACCAAAACAAGTGCTATTCTCCACCGGGACACACGTTTTGTCCCAAAGAAAGCTATTGGTGGCAAGGGGTGCTATGTCTTTCTGGAAGATGGGACCAAATTCCTCGATGCCACAGGTGGCGCAGCTGTATCTTGCCTAGGACACGGTAATGAGCAGGTCACCCAGATCATCAAGGATCAGATGGACCAGGTATCCTACATTCATTCTGCCTTCTTCGGTACTCAGGTAGCCGAGGATCTTGCCAAACTCCTAGTGGACTCTACTGGAGGAAAGCTATCCAAGGTCTTTATAACTAGCTCGGGTGAGTCAAGGCAGCCCTTCTAAGGGACGAAAATTCAGTCCACGCATACAGTGCTAATACTATACAGGGTCTGAGGCTGTCGAGGCTGCACTTAAACTAGCACGCCAATATTTCTTGGAGCTTCCCGCTCCCCAAACTGAGCGCACCAGGTTCATTGCACGTCTTCCATCCTACCACGGCACGACGCTCGGGGCCCTTTCAGTTGGTGGCCATGTTCAGCGTCGGGAGCCATTTGAACCACTTCTCTCCAAGAATGTATCACATGTTTCCCCGTGCTATGCATACCGTGGGAAGCTGGACGGCGAGTCTGATGCAGACTATGTGGCACGTCTTGCAGCCGAGCTAGACGCTGAATTCCAACGTATCGGACCCGAAACCGTGTGCGCATTCGTTGCAGAGCCTGTTGTTGGTGCGGTATGACTTCCTATATTCTACACTACCAGGTCACATAACTTATATTCGTTAGGCTCTCGGCTGTGTCCCTGCAGTACCAGGGTACTTCCGTGCAATGAAAGCCGTTTGCGAGAAATACGGTGCTCTGTTGATCCTTGACGAGATTATGAGCGGCATGGGCCGTTGCGGGACCTTGCATGTCTGGGAGCAAGAGGGTATTGTTCCCGATATCCAGACGATTGCAAAGGGGCTGGGTGGTGGCTACGCGCCTGTGTCGGCCGTCTTGATTAATGACTCTATTGTGCAAACGATGGACAAAGGCACCGGGCAGTTCCGCCACGGACAGACATACCAAGGTCATCCAATCTCATGTGCCGCTGCATTTGCTGTGCAAAAGACTATTCAAGAACAGTCCCTAGTGGAAAATGTCCGTACCATGGGTGCCTATCTTGAAGCACAGTTGAAACAGCGATTCGAGAGTCATCCTTACGTGGGAGATATTCGTGGAAAAGGATTGTTCTGGGGTGTAAGTTGCATGTTCCTGTCGTCGATACTGCAGGACCAAAAAAAAAACGTGTTGCTAATTCTTTCTAGCTTGAATTTGTCAAAGACAAGGCCACGAAAGAGCCATTTGACCCCAAGGTTCGTCTATCTTACCGGCTCCAGGAGAAGGGCCTAGAGCCGGAGCACAGTGTCTCACTGTATGGCTCCTCTGGTACCGTGGATGGAATTAAAGGAGATCATCTTATACTCGCACCACCTTACATCGTGTCGAAAGAGGAGATTGATATTATTGTCAACACCTTGGACAAAGTTATGGAGGAGGTTTTTACCTCGCTATAGAGCGCACCTTACATCTATTTCAATAATCCATTTTCATAATCTTGGAATATGCAATCATCTAACCAATTTCATTTTGTTTACGAAAATAACTACGGGAAGAAACATTAAATGACGAAGCAGATGTTAAAAAAAGCCAAGGAAAACCATGTCAATGCTGGGATATTTCGTTATTTTACAAGTACATGAGAGAGATCAAGCATGAGCCTCAATGGCAGCCGCTTTCTTCCTATCAGCCAGTTCAATCCCCTTTGGCCCGTTGGCAGAGCCACTAAGCGCCGCGTCCTGATGAATGGAGCTCTCCGCCCACAGTCCAGCGACAGTCTCAATGGCCCGCTCAACGACTACGCGGATGCGGTCTCGTAGAACAGGGTTTGCACACTCGACTTCCAGGTCCTCGAGCCACACACGGGCAACATGCTTGTCCACCCTGATTTCAATACCAGGGACGGGAACACCCATTGTGATAAGACGATCCAGCTCCGCAGCCTCAATATCAGCAATTCGTTCTTCGTTCATCTCTTCGCCATCTTCTTGTGGACCGAGTGCGAGATCGGCCGGGATTCGCGGGCGCTCAATGGGGCCGATGTTGTCGCCACCGAATTGGGCCTCGAGCATCATCAGCATACGAGCAAGTCGCTCTTGGGGTCCGGATTGAGAATGAGGGTTTGGGAGCGAGGGGATTTCCATGTCATCATCATCGCCATGGTGATGGTGGTGGTGCTTGTTTTTGGCCGATTCTAGAACGTTAGTAGTTAGCATAAGTAAGAGGTGAAAAAGGATAAGAATTCGTACGCTTTACGGAGGCTGGGCTGCTTTCGACTGTGAGCAGAACAGCCATAACTGCATCTGCCACTCCGTCGTTCATCATGTTACCTTCCCATTCCAATTCAACTTCGCGGGTGCGTGAGTGATGGCGAAGATACACACAACCCATGACAAGGAATGTCTGTGTCTCGTCTGATGGAATCTCCTCATCGGCATCCTCTTGCTTTAGGGTGTCGTCAGTACCCATCTCTTTCTTGCCATTGGGCTCAGTCTTCTTGCTGTTTCCAACTTCTTCAATGGCCCCGAAAGTTCCCTCAAGGGCCCATCGGATCAGGTCCATACTTGCGGAGCTGAGAGTGATATGCTGCTTGCAAGTAATAGTCGTAGTTGTCAAGCCTGCATACTCCTGTAAGTCGTCAGGGGCCATCAACGACAAGTTGAACCCATTTTGAACTAAGACTCCAGCCATAAGTTGGGCATCATCATTCTCCGATGGAGGCGCAAGCTCTGCGAGCTTGCCGACTACCTTTGCAATTTTGTCCTTTTTGAAAGGAATGCGAACTTCGTCGCAGTTTG